TGACTGCAGACGTGGGCGTCCAGGTCCTGCTGTTTGGTACAGGTGCCACCAGGGGTGGTGTCACCCACGACCCCTACCTGGTCCTGATCCCAGATGTGGCATCCTACTGTTCTGCCTACATGGTCAAGAGCATGCCAGGCTCTAATGGTGTGGCCCTGGTGGTGACCCCGACGGAGGCTGCCAACACACTGATGGTGGATGAGAGTGCACTGGGGACCAATGTCACCTGGACACCCGTGCCCGGCAGCGAGTTCTCCTTTGCTGAAGTGGACCTCGGCACTGCTGACACCATCCACGTGGCCAAGGCTGGTACCAGCTTTGGGCTGCTCACCTTCGGACTGGGCCAGGCTGTGGGCTTTGGCACAGCAGCTGCTTGCAGCCAGAGTGAGTGATGGGAATGACCTCTGGCCCTGTCCTCCCAGTGACCCCTCTCCCCGCCCTCTCACTCATCCCCCTTTCCTACTCACCTGCTTCTCTGTGGCTTCCTGGCCCCACTGGCCTATCCTCCCCACCCATTCCAGCCTCTCTCTCCAGCCCCCAGGAGCAACACTGAATACTTAGCATCTGGGTCCCAACCAGTCAGAGCACATGCCTGCAGCAGGGGTGGTGCATTAGCCCTTTGTTGCCTGTGTTTGTGGGATGGGGGGTTCTAGGGGAGATCCAAGGTGCTACAAGTGAGGGATCTTGCGGGATGGGAGGGTCAGGTCAGCAGTTCTTACCAACCAGTTTGGAAAGATAGTGATGGCTGCCTTGTTGGGGGGCCTCGCAAAGTCACCATCATTCATGTCTAGGGCCTGGCTTAACGTGTCACCTCAGGCTCAGCATGTCAAAGAGTCATCTCAGTGTGGTGTTTGAGGGCACAGATGCTCACACCAGTCTTCAGGGTGCATATCTGCTTGTGTGACCTTGGACACGTGAACACCTCTGTGGGCCTCATCTGTAAAATGGGGTTAATAGTTGCATCCCCTTCACAGGATTGCTAAGTGAGGGTGCAGCGGGTCAGCATTTGTAAATTCCGCAGTGGGTGTCTGGCAAGTGAGAGGACTATGTAAGAGTGATTGTTACTGTGAATGCACAGAAAGCAAGGGCTTTGAAGACTGGAAAGCAGGGAAGGAAGAGCCGTTGCTGCCTACGTGGACCCCTCCCAAGTTAGAACACTAGACACTAGGGTGTCAAGCCCTAGCAGAAATGGCCCCCACTTCTAGGGCACGGAAACCACCCTATTTCAAAGCGCTACTTGGGGCATGACTGGTAGAATGGGGAGGGGCGGGTTTCACCAGCCATGGGCCATCAACACCGTGGGGCAGTTCCAAACCCTACTGATGCTTTAGGTTTTTTGTTTTGTTTTTTTTTTTTAAGAACAAGATGTCGATCTTGTTCTTTTCTTTTTTTCAGAGATTTATTTATTTATGCATACAAGAACCGGGGTACAGGCCAGATGCGCGGGAGGGTAAGAGCAGTCACCAGAGACAGAGTGGGGAACAGAAAAGGCAGACTGACGAAATACACTGCTGAGGGGAGCAGCGGGCGACACAGGAGAGGTCTGCCATGCCATGGGGGTTTCTCACTGGCCGGCCAGGATCGAACCTGTGCTGCAGAGGCCGCGGACAGTTTCACAACGCTGCACTCAACTGCCTGCGCCCCCAGGGGAGGGCCTGATGTTCTAGCTTATTAAAAACTGGCAACACCCCCTCCCCAAACAGTCTCCTCGTGAGGAAGGTATGATCACCCCCACCCATGTCACACGTGACAAAACGGAGGTATGGAGAGCCCAGTGGCCTTCTCTAGAGTCACACAGCTGAGTCTTTGAGCCAGGAATCCCACACAGACAACCTGACCGCACCCTCCTTCCCATTGGGTTACAGTCTCTGTCTTCCCTTTTCTCTCCTGGAAAAAGACCCTTTAACCCACTGACTGGAGTGGGAAGGAAGGGAGAGGGGAAAATGTGGAGAGAAAACCCACACAGGACATTTCCATGATTGTGCTGCTGGGACTGCACTGCCTTCCATTTCTTCTGGGATGAGCGGTGGTTAAACTGGGGAATCAGAGAACCTGGGACCTGAGGACCTGGGCCTCTCCCTCCCTGTGGGATTCCCGACTGAACCTTCCCCATTCTGTAAGGGTGGTTGGGAGGGCCCTGCCCAGACCCCCCAGGGCTGGACTCCCATCTGCTGGAACCTCCTGACAGCTGCCCCACCTTCCCTGTAGCCACCCCAGCCCCGGAGGAGGCCTCCTGCGAAGGTGTGAGTTGCCCACCCTGGCACCACTGCAAGGTGGTGGGCGGGAAGCCCACGTGCGTGGAGGTGTCCGTGGCCACCTGCCGCGCCCAGGGTGACCCCCATTACACCACCTTCGATGGCCTTCACTACGACATGATGGGCACCTGCACCTACACGATCACGGAGCTGTGCAGCAAGGACTTGTCCCTGCCTGCCTTCAGCGTGGAGGCCAAGAACGAGCACCGGAACAGCCGCCGCGTCTCCTACGTGGGCTTCGTCACCGTGCGCGCCTACGGCCACTCGGTGTCACTGGCCCGCGGGGAGGTCGGCTTTGCCCGGGTGAGTGTCCCGAGTCTTGCGGTGGAACGCCCGTGAACTCCTGTCAGGGGGAGGAGGCAGCGCTTGCGGTGGCAACGCCCAAGCCTGAGCCCTTTACCTGGGGTACAGGGTGCGGAGAAATGGGCCCAGTAGGGGTGCGGGCTGGGGAGGGGACATTTCTCTCCATTGGTTGGAGAACCAGTGGAAGAACCTTAAACCCGCTTGTCCAGCAGTTCTAGTTCTAAATTGTTTTTTCCTTTATTGGTCGACGTTTGAATTTCCTTTAAGGATGCTCAGAGATAGGGTTAGAAGAAAAAGTTGGACTTTTTTCTAATGCGGTTTTTAACGACAAAAGAAAGAAAGTGTCCAAAAGTTTACAGCTCCTGTGGAATCCTGGTAGAATTGCCTAAGTCTGTTAGGAAAACAGAGTTCATGAGACAGTGACTTCAGCAGGGTCTCCTTATTTAAAAAACGAGAAAAGGGTAAATGTATTTAGAGGTTAAAAAAAATATCTGGCAGGATTTGTACATGTGTGTGTGTGTTTATGGCAATATGGGGAATTTCTCTTTTCTCATTTTTGCTCATGTGCATTTTGTGAATTTTCTGGAAGGAACAAATGTTGCTGTGTCATTTGTAAATGGAGATCGCTGGTCCTAGGGTAGAGGCAGATTGGAACATTGAGTTGCCTGGACTGAGAGCCTGTGCGGGCAGGGTCCTGGCTGTCACCGGTCACGGCTGTGTCCTCAGCACTGCCCAGCACAGACCTGGCTGCACAGGAGGCTCCCAGAGGCTCTGCCTCTGACTCCATTTCTATACCTCATCCTCTTGGCTAAGGCAAGAATGTGTGGAGAAAGAATGAGAAAGAGGTGCTCAAGTCGGGGACAGAGGGCACAGGCAGGCGACAGACAGACACAGCCCTTGTGTCCTCTCTCCCCTCAGCACATTTGCAAAGTAATAGCCCCTCCCTCCTTATTGTCGTTGTCCTGCACTGATCCTTTCCAGGTCAGCTTAGCTGTCCCTGCCTCCAGGCAACCTCCCTGCCTTGCAGGATGGGATCTGTCCTTTGTTCAAGGCTCCCAAGGCCGCCTCTGCCGCCACTGTCCCAACCCTGACCTCTCATCTGTCATTGTCTCTTTTTTTTTAAAGATTTATCTATTTATTTATTTATTTAATTTATTTATTTAAGCACTGGGTACAGTCAGAAGCGCGGGAGGGTGAGAGAATCCACCAGAGCCAGAGTGGAGAGCAGAGCAGGCAGAAGGACCGAAGTACACTGCTGAGGGGAGCAGCGGGCGGCAGGAGAGGTCTGCGCGCCATGTGGACCCTCCTCCGGTGGCCGGGGAGCAGCCGGGCATCGAACTGCGGGCAGCCTCACAACCCAGCGCTCAACCGCTGCGCCACCAGGGAGGCCCTGTCATTGTCTCTTGACAGGTCTGTCTCCCCCATTGCACTGGGAGTCCCATGAGAGCAGACCTGGGGTTGTGTCTGTCATGGCTGCATCTCCACGGTCTCTCAGCCTAGGACCAGGCACAATGACTAGCCAGAGAGGCTCTCCCCAGTGCAGCAGGGCCTCTGCTCCCTGCCAGTACTTGCTGTCCAGCGAGGCACTGTCTGGGCACAGGAGCTGAGCAGTAGTGGAAGCAGACGAAACCCTGTCTTCGTGGCGCTGACGGTCTAGTGGATTTAGGCAGATGATAAGCACGAGAAATTTGCGAATAGTTCAAAAGGTTAGAAGTTGTGGGAGGACAGGTTAGCAGGAAAGTGGATCAGGAAGCCAGTAGGGGTAGTCAGGGATCGCCTCACTGTGATGGTGACATTGGGGGAAGCCCTTGTAAGAGACAATGAAGCAGGGACTCCCCATTGGCGCAGTGGTTGAGCGCTGGGTTGCGAAGCTGCCCGCGGCCTCTGCGGCACCGGTTTGATCCCCGGCTGCTCCTCGGCCACTGGAGGAGGGTCCCACATGGCGCGCAGACCTCTCCTGCCGCCCGCTGCTCCCCTCAGCAGTGTACTTCGGTCCTTCTGCCTGCTCTGCTCCCCGCTCTGGCTCTGGTGAATTCTCTCACCCTCCCGCACTTCTGACTGTACCCAGTGCTTGTATAAACAAACAAACAAACAAACAAATAAACAAACATGCCTCTATTTAAAAAAAAGAGAGACAATGAAGCGGACCATGTGTACATCTCGGGGAAGAACATTTCAGACCCCAAAAGTGGCAAGAGCAAAGATTCTGAGGCTGGGATGTTGGCAGTCACAGGACGCAGGAATCCCCAAGCAGCTCGGGCAGGGCAAGTGAGTGGAAGGAGGCGGGATGCAGGCCAGGCCACACGGGTCCTCACCAGCCCTCACTCCCGCCCCCCAGATCGACAACCAGCGCTCAAGCCTGCCGGTCTCCATGGAGGAGGAGACTGCGCGTGTATCAGAGCGGGAGGCGCGCCATCGTGGAGCTGGACTTCGGGCTGATCGTCACCTACGACTGGGACTGCCAGCTGGCGTTGAGCCTGCCCGAGAATTCAAAGACAACGTGTGCGGTTTATGCGGCAACTACAACGGCAACCCCAAAGATGACTTCCTCACCCGTGACGGAGTGCTTGCTCCTAATGCCATGGAGTTTGCCAGCAAATGGAAGCTGGACGACGGGACTACCTGTGTACGGATGGCTGCAGACAACTGTCCCTCCTGCACCCCAGGCCAGGCCCAGCACTATGAGGGCGACCGTCTCTGTGGCATGCTGACCCTGCAAGCGCCCCTTTGCTGTCTGCCACCATGCCCTGGAGCCGAAGCCCTTCCTGCAGGAG